CCAAAGTCCTGTAACAAGAGATTAACGGGAAGGAAGCAGTTAGGAAGGCGCGCGCGCGCAGCTTTCCGAAGAACATGGGTGGTTGCGTCGATGCAGCGTCCGTTGTAGAACACGCTGTAACAAAACACCTTTTGATAGATTCGTGAATACCATACATTTCCTCAAATTTCGGCAAATGATTTCAATAAATCATGGAACATTTTGAGGAAATGATTCGAGTATCATTTGAAGGGTATTTTTCAATCTTTATGACCTCTTTTCGATATCTATTAAATTAAATAAATTTTCCCTCTAATATATCTTTAAGTATATATCACAGGCGTGAACGTACTTGAGCGAAGAACTTGAGAGACACTGTACAGACTATTGTCTTTTAACGCTACAAATTGATTGTAGCGGGAATATAATTTTTAGGAAAGAAGGCACACATCTGAGAAATTAATGTCTATTGTGCGAATACTACAGAAAAGGGTACAAAGAGAAATCATTTGTTAATATCGTGAGAGTCAATGAAATCTGTTTCCGAGGGAAAACGCAGCAGCGGCGAACTAATTTTATCACGAGCGATCGAGCGGGATCGCAATTTCGATCAAGATGAGTCGGCGTGCGCGATGATTCATCATGGATTCATCATTTCCCCACAACGCGGCGAGCAGATCTTTTCGCGATAGAATTCGTCCAATTTTTACAAGAGCAATTCTCGATCTAACGCTCGATACGAATCAAGCTCTCCGACCCAAAATATCTTCCTTTTACGGGAGCCTACAATTAGCGCCGAAACGGCCCAAAAGTCGACGACCGCTGCTCAAAGCGAACGAGCTGCATCGCGTTTATGGATTCGAATGGCTTTATCGGCTCTTCTTTCCAGGCTGCTACTTGCTGTTTACTCACTTAAAAAGCGACTTCCTCCGTTACCAGGGATACACTGTCAACGATATAAAGTTCGCAAACGTGACAGTAGATCGAATGTAATGACACAAGTCAAGCAACAGTCGTCAAGCAATTGTCTTCGATAATCTTACGGTGACTGCTTGATTGAAATATTATTTAATCGATTTGTATATAATCGCGTTTGTTGTTTTTTTCTTCCTTCTTGACTCTACGATAAATTGGAGATAGATGAAAAGCGCGATCCGCGCGATAACTGTTGATTAATTGGCAATAATAATTGATAATCGATTTGTCGCGTAACGATTATCAATCGCGCCGTTGGGTGTAACAAATCCGACAGAATCAAAGAAGATGAGACGAACTCGACATGGATAAGAAGAAATACCCGGTTACGCCCTCGTTTCGTATTACCCGCTGAGATCGCTATACCGGTGGGCGTCGATCGTTCGGATCCCTTACATGTGTAATTTGATGCCTATTTTTTTATTTTTTTCTCCTTTTCCCTCTCTTCTTTTTTCTTCTTCTTCCAACTGACCACAAACGCAAAGTCTTCCTCGATCGAAGCTCACTTGGTTCTTATTCGTTCGTCTCTGCCGAACACTTGCAAACACCGAAAATATAAGTGGGGAAAAAAGATAACGAAGAAAACACGATCGCTGTCCTCCCGCTGAAGCGAAGAGGAAATGAGGACAATCGTTCGGACGTAGGTAGCCGAAAAGCCTGTCCTCATATGCAACCACTTGAACCTTTTTATAGGCGCCTCTCTTCGTATTTCACGCTCGCACCGAGCGCCGATTTGTCTCCACTTGTTCCTCCGTTCTTGGTCTATTCTCTGTTCTGCCTAAACCAATAATGCCGAAAAGAACCCGAAACTTTGTGCATAAATTTGCGCAGATATGACGGAATCGATGAAATGTCTGCCACAATTTTCTCCAAGTATCTTATAAATCGGATTTAAAGAAACACAAAATGATAAGACGCGGCTAGAGAGAAACTATAATATATATATATATATATATATATATATATAATTACTTAACCGAAGATTATATAGTGCAACTTGAAAAGAAACAAATGCAGTAAACAGTTTTGTGGTGACAAAAATGCACAATAACGCTATGTTACAAGATTTTTTGTCGTGGAGGATCGATAAATCGAATGCGCTGAATACGAACTGAATACAATCACGTCAGATTTCCGAGAAAATCAGAATTGAAAGCCCCAACAAATTTATGGCCGATTTTGGCCATTTTCACAAATTCGTAACGCCTAAATCAGACGTGTCAGCAACTTCGAAGTGGTTTGAAATGTTCGTCTTTATTTTAAAAAGTCGGAAACTTGAACTTTGTAGAAGAAGTTACCCTCACAGAGGAATGAACAAATTTATACACTAAAATAACAAAATTATGTTTCAACAAATTTCTGGGTATTCCGAATCTGGGTGACCACGAAATGGTCCTTCTGTTAAGGTTCATTGTACTTGTTTATAACAAAAATATCATCAAAATTTCATTCTGAAAGATACACGACTTTTCTATTTAGACTAGTTAGGTTATTGTTTTTGCAATTTCAATTCCTTCCAGGAGAGTATGTGTGACATGAATAAATGGATAAATAGGACATTTTCTTCTATGATCGTTATTATTTCCTGTCTTCCTGTGTAACAGGAAGTCACGCGGAAATTCATTGGGTATGACATATAATTTTGCTATTTTGTTGTATTTTGTGATCCACGGAAATCCTAATCTAATTGTTAGACCGACTTCTACGAAGTTTGCACTTAAAGTTTCCGACTTTTTAAAATAAAGACGGAGGTTCAGGCCCTTTGTTTACGCGTTACGAATTTATAAAAATGATCAAAAACGCATTTTTGGGGACGTGACGGACAATTTTTGTAGTCACGTTCGTATTCAGCGCACCCGGCTTACTAAAGAACAAGCCTTTATGACAAAAGTGTAAGAAATTGGTTAAAATTTGTAACACGGTGTAATCTATAAGGACTCGACATATCCTGTTTATAAAACTAGTCGCACCGTACGCTCCGTACGCGCAAAATAAGCATACAAAGAGCGGTTGTTTACTTCTCGACGTATTTCGACAGGAAATGTTGGTGTGTAGCGCGATCGCTAAAAACACACAGCTGTCATTTGCAAAATAATAACGATTGTCGAGGAAAATCAAGGCGTCCTTTCGCGAGAAATCGCTTATAGGAATGCTCGCGAGGTCTTAAACGGAAGAATTCCTCCATGTGTGCGCCAGATATCCTTCGCTAGGATGCAGCCTTATTGTATATTGTGCCGCGTGTAGCAAGGACAAGCAGGAACGAAGCACGACGGCAACGTCGTCGACTCTATTGTCGCCAGGCCTCCAGTTACATTTTATTGCAGGGCGCGATACCGTGCGCGACGCGTGTTAGTCAAAGAACATCCTTCGGCACTCTCTTGCCGCCCTCTCGCAACATCGAATGTCATCGGAACACCGGAATCAGGCTCCAAGGAGGTCGGCGCCAAGTCGGCGAACCTAAATTTTATCCTGGACGATACAGGGGATCGTATAGGTTCCGACTGCTTTCTCTCTTTCGGCTTCGTATTTTGTCGAAATTGGAGAACGCGTCGCGGAAGAGCAAGTCGCGTCACTTCCGTTCTCATTCCCTCGAAATTACGCAACTTTTCGTCTATTTGAATATACGACGTCCTCAAACTGAGAGAGAGAGAGTACTTTGAAACCAGACAGATACGACGGACTTTACTAACGAATACAATAGTTTTGCTTTTATAATATTTTCGAACTTTTTAACTCTGCGCAATTTGGCCGAACTGGTTTATCCTAAAGACTCGCTTTATTCCAATTGGGCGCAATTGCGATAAATCAAGCGATGTACTCATTTGATATCCTATCCGTTGCGAGAATACAATGCCTCCCTGTCGATTCATTTATGCATCTTCATTGTGCATACTAATAGCGCGTGAAAAAGAAAATAGAAAAAGATCGCACGAGAGAGAGAGAGAGAGAGAGAGAGAGAGAGAGAGAGAGAGGGAGAGAGGGAAGGAAAGCGTGGGGAAAAATAGACAATTATCATCCCCCTGCCAGCAGTCGGGAGTTGCGTTTTCATTGCAGCAAAATGACGGGCACGCAGATGTCGACCACACGTCGACATTCGCCCCAAGGATGACAATTCGGCGGATGAAATCGACTCTCTGTGTACGCACCGCAGGGTGCCACCGGAACGACGCATTTTCCTATCGTGCCCCGTTTGGCAAACTCCAGCCCTCCCTCAATTTACGTAACGACGCGGTAAGCCGCCGATTCTTCCGCGATTACATGGGATGCATTTGGATTGGATACGTTCGTGCGCGCGAGCGATTATGATCAACCCTTTAGCAGGAGAGTACCTTCGATGTACGAGTGAAAAGAATCGACTATCTTAGGACAATATAGAGCTGTTTTACTTAATTAATTGAAAGACTTACTTTTCAAGAGATTTTAACGTTACAATTTAACGTTACAATACATTTCTAAACATACGTTAGTTTATTCGGTTCACCTACCGTATAATCAGATAAACGATTGGTTGATCCTTTGCTTTCTAATGCGAACATAATTCGATTTGTTACTAAATCAACGCAAAAGAAGCTTTGGCGCGCGTCGAGGGTTAGGTTCTTTGAAAAGCAGCTCTTCTCTTTCCCATGACGGCGAGCGTGTCCCCAGGGTGCCGCACGAGCACGCGTCGCAACTACACTTGCGTCAACCCTTGGTTCATTAATGATGTCACTAAATTCCCACATACACAATAGCTCGCCTCTATTCTCACTCTGTTTCTACCGGTCGATTTTCAAATTCTCGACAACCTTCTTCTATTTGCTGCAAGTGAACAAAAAACAAATTTGGTCACGTCTTGTTAGTCAGATCGCGGTATCGATTACCTCTATGGATCAGGACAGACAACGCATTGTTTTTTCGGCTCGCTTTTAGGCCGTTAAGCCGTACTCGAATCTGTTCTCGGTTCGTTTCTTCCTCAAAGGGATACAATGCGTGTATCCGCGTTGCGCGTGTGTGAAAGAGTGGAAATGTGAGAGGTGGAGATGACCTAAATAAACAACTAAAACGAATTATTGGCGATGGACTTTATTTCAAAATTGTTTGACTGATTCTCCAAGTTGACACGAAAAACGGTGAACTGTGAAGAAACCATAAAATCTCATCGTCATCGTATTTGTTTGTTCTTATTCTCTTATTCACTAATAACTAAGCAGTTGATCTTCTTATGATTTTTAAGTGAGCAACGTAGGCGCTAAATCGCAATTACGTCTAGTTACCAAAGCGGCTCGATAGTAAATGTAAAACACTTGAAAAAGTCAGAAGCTAAAAATTCAAATTACGTTTTGATCAGTTACAATTTCCAAAACGAGCAATTAAAGTTAAAGGAAGATATATATATGTATATATATAGATATATATATATATATATATATATATATATATATGAATATATATATACTATATACTATATATATATATATATATATATATATATATATACATATACATATATACATATACATATATACATATACATATATACATATAGAGGGAGAAAAAGAGAGATTTCAGCATACATTGAGAAATTTCCAAATATATGTTTGATCAATGATCTCTCTTTCTTATCGCGAAAGAGAGGTAAATTTTTTTCCTGAACACACGCTTCCGACTTCCTCAATCGATAATACTGCAATTCGAACCGATAAATCGGCGATTGTACATACTCAAGTTATACGTCTCTTTGTGTAAACTTTCTATCATACGTATACAACCTAATTGACAATAACGCACAATACAGGTCGCTCTACTGATTTCACTAACCATGCTACTTTTATCTAAGAGAAACAAAAGAGGTGTAAAAAATACAAGATAAAAAAGTATAAATCTAGATCTCGTAGGGAATGTCCGAATTGTGTGTGTGTGTGTGTGTGTGTTCTATTTCGCGGTCTAACATCGCGAGCACGCCGTTGTTGCTCAGCGACTACAATGTCATCGAGTATAGCCATGTCAATATTTAATGTTCGGGTACCGGGGCTTTTCTCCTTCTTCCCCCTCCCCAGGTAACACCACGTGATTAATTAGATTGTTCGAAAAACAAAGAGCCAAATTGCGACATCAATTACCAAGAGTCGAGAGATTGAGAGAGAATGCGATAGATGAATATTATCCGGCTTTTTTCACCCGCGATTTTTTTTCAACACCGGGATATATAAATTGTCTGGCTTACTACTGACAGCGCTAATGTCAAGCTTAGGAACACGCTGTCTATCATTAATTAGAGTCTACCATCACAATGTTAATTCTCGGTCTGCGAACATCTTCGCGACTATGCTACGCGTACATATGTGTATGTACATGTCAATACTCGTATATTTCGTTTTGGACTTGCAATCGACTCGTTCCGAATTAATCCTCTCGACACGGAGTGTATGACGTAGTATCGTACCGATTGACCCGTCCGTTAGGTACGAGTTAATATGGAATGAGATTAAACAGCTCTCTCCAAAATTCACCAACGTTGGAAACACTTGGACGTTTACGTTAAAAAAATATTAATATCAATTTCACACCATCGGTTCTGGTATAGTACAACCAACCGTTAAATTCTAATCCTATCCCAAACGATCGTTTGCCGAGGAAATCGCAAAAATTAAGCTAAATATCCATTATCAGGGCTTACAGTCTTCCACGTGTTCTTATGCGAACTGATGGCGTAAATTTCATCGGGATTCCTTTCTGTCTCCCCCCCGTGGACGTTGACGTTGTCGTGTTCAGTGTCGTTTTGGCGATTTTCTTTAGTGCATTTGTCCTGTGCATTTTCTGTAACGCTGTAATTGACGAATGTGTTACTCTTGTCGTCCGCGATCGTCACCTTCTCCCTCGATCGATAAGTGTCGTCGTTTCGAGGCTCCACAGAACCGTAATGCTTCGCGTGCTGCCACGGCTTCGGTTTACGCCCAGAGAAAAATCCATCAAGGGTCATAAAGGGCATCTCAAAGCAGAGGGTCCACACCGTGGATAGCATCATTGTGAAAACCAAATTAGCGAAGAAGGCGCGTATCTGACATAGATGAACAAAACTCATTATTCCGTTGCATTGATCGAGTATCTTAGAGATAACTTAGAGAGACTGTATGTACATAATAAACAAAGTAGTACTGATTATTAACAGATATTGCTGATCATCTCAGCAATAAATTTCTATTCTCATCTCGTGTATGATGTTGACTATCCGGCGATATTAGCCGGATTTTTTCACTCGCGATTATCTCTCTGCTATGCTCGAATGTTCCCGCCCTTCGTACTTACCACGTTCATTGGTGTAAGATCGCCCACGGTTCGAACGGTTCCGATATCAACTATCAGAAACACATAATGAGAGAGATAAGCGCAGTAAGTCAATTTGCGGAACGGCACCCATCCGTGCCAAGAAAGGATGTGATTCACGGGACCTTGGGAAAAACAAATAATTTTATAGCGTTTGGGAGATCGTCGTCTGATTTTATTGTATCGTATACAATGTTCGTACTTGGCGCGCGACGATTACCTGCGTATCCGTGCACGCAGCAGAAAATTATCCAGGAGATAGCCAGCGCGAAGATCTGTCGGTGGAAACCGGCGTAGAAACTCGCTTCTAATTTATCGTATACGTGAGTGTCCATGTACATATTACGGGGTCCAAAAATGACCAAGAATCCCGCCGTGACCGCTGCGAACCAACCACAAGCTACGTGCCACTGTGCGCGCGTGACAATGTTGTAGCGTACGATTTATTTTTATTTCTATAATGTCTTCTTACAGGGGAGAGAGAGGGAAAGGGAAAAATTTGTCGAATAAAAAAATTGCAGAGCAGAGAAGGAGCGGATTCATGGTGAAGATGGTGAAGATTTGTTCGAGAACTTTCAGGACATTGCGATGTGTCATACGAATTAGAAATAAAAATACTAAAAATAATAAGATAAATAGTTTGGACAAATACTTACGGCGCGCAAATTGACACTATGATTCTGCGTCTTGTGCAACAAATAACCGAGACCTAGCCCGATGACGTAAGGACCGAATCTATTGTAGACCCTCGTGTAAATTTGCAAGTAAACGTTGGTCATGTTCTCCCCTCTATGAAACACAAGTCAAGAATTGATCAGAAATGTTGCGCCACATTTTACTACAATTTAAAATATTAATTAAGTAAAGTCGCGCGAGAAAATTTTCATTTGGTTGTTTGGTGCAAAACTGATGCATAAAAACAAAAGACTAGTATGATATGTACAAAGATTATAGAACTTTACGAGAAACTTTTCCGTAAATACAATAATGTAGTAAAAAATTAAAAAAGCAAGATAAAAATAAAAGAAAACGCGACAGAGAGGAAAGCGCTAAATAAATGAAACCCCTTCGAGTTAAACCAACTTAAATTAAATGAAAAGTGTAAGTAATATCGAAGGTGAAGGGAAGAAAGCTGAATCGAAATAACAAGCGTAAAAATATGGTAGAAATACTCGATGTCTTGTACTCACTGCTTGTAGTAGAGCATTGTGCCCGTTAGACTGTAAATGTAAGTCACAGCAAAGGGTAATAATACCGATAGAAACAAGCCAAAACCGAGAACAATGGCGAAAACGAGCTTCCTGAGTTTGAGCATAGGATACAGAATAAGCGGCGACAACCAGAGAAGCTGCATATCGGTTGACAGGTACCAAGATTGTGACATGCACTAGAAGAGCAAACGTAAGAAAAGGATTGTATTCTCGTAGGGTAAAAGAGTGAGATGAATGAATATATCCCAAGTGTCGCAGGGATCGCAAAGTAGCATAAGTTCGCGCAAAGTTGTTATATCGCAATATTGTTCTAGGAAAAATCAAATGTAATAAATCAATAAAAGGATGTAACAATATTTTTTCAAAGCGAAAGTCCTTTTTTACATTCGTCGTTTTTTACGCATGAGAAAAAAAAGAAAAAAAATAAGAGGAGAAATGCATGAGACACGATTGTTATTCACTTTTCAAGACGAAGAATTTCACGTCGGCACGACGTAATTAATAGAGCGAAAGATGTGATAAAAATTTTCAATCGGTCAAAACTTACCATGCTGTCCACGTTGACGTAGTTGTTAACATAGAGTAGGTTTGTCCACCAATTCTCGCGGCAGGAGTTTTTATTGACGCTAACCCAAGTGTTCCAGTGCGGACCCGTGCCAAATTTATCGAACACAGTGGCATAGAAACCGATCATCATCGCATAAGCCGGCGTCAGTCTGGTGAAATACGAGACTATTAATACGAGACTACACTTTCGGAAAAATGAGGAGTAAATGTTTCCAATACAATGCTGGATACATAGCTGGATCGTGAGGAAAGGAGAGATCGAAATTTCTGTGACAGACAGACAAACTTGGCGGACATACCTGACGTAACGATGCACATAAAGACCAATCGCATTGAAGCGCCAGTCGGTGTCTCCTCCTCGCTCCTTCCTCGACAGCTCGGTGTATGCGAGCAGGATGCCGCTCAGTAAGAAAAAAGTGTCGGTGACGATGTTCGCATTAAGTACCAGCATGTTGCTCCAGTCATAATGCATCTTTTCGAGAGAGAAAGAGAGATTTTATTGGCAGCTGCGCTATTCGAGAGTAACGCGCGCGCGCGCGCGCATTCGAATGAAACGAGGAAAAATGCGCGGACACTCACGCGCGGCACCTGTGTGAGATCCATTTTGACGCCGACTACCTCCATGTAGTACGTGTGACCGTAAATGATCCAGCATATACTGAGAAAGCGCAAACCGTCCAGACAACCGATCGAATTTTGGCGTCTGTCGGTTTGAAGCAGAATTTTTCCATTTGTGTGCAGGGAGAACGACGTGAAGAGAGCTACGGCGAGAAATCGCGTCGTTTATCGCGCGTTTCGATACCTCCGACATGAAATAGTGCTTTATTGAATCTGGACGATGTGTGTGTGTAAACAAACTGATTTCTAGATAACGAATTTCACAATTGTTCGTACCTTTTCGGTCCGATCCCGTGACGAGACGGCGTTCTACAGCGACGTCGTATCCTGTGCTGGCTATAATGATCAATGCGAACAGTACAAGAATCGATCTAGAATTGTCGAACGTCATTGTCATTGAGTGAGTGAAGGAGCGCACGAGCTGCGGGGAAGAAGCCGCGGGCAAAAAGTATCCGCGAAGGTAAGCCGATGTAACACTTACATGTAACACCAGTCGGCGATGGTCCAGGTAGCGCGTGCGGTCTCCGCCGTGTGACAGGCGCCCTCGAAAACGTTAACCATCATGTCTACGCGCCCTTGGACGTTGAGTGGGTCGAGCACGACTGCCAGAGAATTCTGCACCTCGGTACGGTTGCAAGTCGACGGCACACACCACATCCATTCGTAAGACAACGTAATGCCTGATCTCCATTTCGTCGAATTCTACGCTCGCGCCAAAGATCCAAACGGGAACGATTGACTGATATAATTTAATTAACTAATATAAAATGGAATTATCGAGTTATCGATAAACTCACCGAAGCGATCGCGACGTTGACGAGCAGATCTGCCAGGTCCAACTCGCGGGGCTTGCTGTCGTTGTTCGCTGCGACCACAAATTGCACGGACGCTCGGCAAGCTTGCCCGACGAATCCGCGATCACCGCTGTTCACCCGCAAACATTCGTCGTAATTGCCCAGCTGCTTGTGATTACCGGTGATCAAGCCAACCGGTATTTTAACCGAAGCGTCGTACACTAAAACAGAGAAGAGAGTCTTTTTCCGTTCGAGTCTCCGAGAAAGACGGAATTCGCACGAAACATGCGCTGATCCCTGCCGTTATTTTCCCCACCATGTGAAATCGGTGCGTTTTACGCGTGTGCGTGGAATGTGCGTTAAAGATCTTGTTTCTTAACGCGTCGAGAATGGGGTAAACGATGAGAATACTCTCTCGCCTGCTTGCCTGCGGCATTTCACCTTGGAAAGGAAAGGTTGTTACCACCAATCTACTATCGACGCGTCTTATTGTGGCGTTTTTCCGGCTATTACGACACACTTGGCATTCCGACTTTGACATTTGCAACTTAATTGTGCGCCCTCGCTACTCGTTTATTATAATAAACACTCTGAAACCGCCGGTTGAACGCAGATGTAGTTGAGGTGTTTGTTCTTCTCGCGATCCGTCTGCATCGGTCGGCATCGTTTTTTTTTTCGCATTTACAGCTCCGCCGTTTATACAATATATATCACATTTTTGCAAAATCTATCGCACAGTAGTATGAACCCGAACTGTCATTATTCGAGCCTTGTGGCCGACGTTCTGTTACCTGCAGCTCCCTTTGAGCTCTATTTGAGCTGCATCGATCGCACTGTGACATTGAGAGAATCCGGCGTGTCAATGCGTCACCACGAGTGCATTAGGGCTATCGCACACACAAATTGACATAACTGCATATGCATAGCATAAGACCGTGTATGTACCAATGAGCATCGAGGCGATTAAGTCGCCATATTGGTGTTCGATGCTTAATATTCGATGCTCATTGGTCCATACGATCTTATGCTATGCATATGCAGTTATGTCAATTTGTGTGCGATAGCCCTTAGCCGCAGAGCGCACCTCAGCACGAAAGATCTTAGCGCGAGGAGACAGCGTGAAGAGTATGTCGCGTTTGAAACCGCGACTTCCGTTATCGCGACATTTCCACAATGGATGATATGTAAAGCGGCTCGGCCAAAAAGTCAAACAGCCCGCTGCGGGCCGGCCGGGTTCGATTGAACGATCCGCAGGCCAGACAGACCAGGGAAAGACCGATCGATCGGAGGCAGGCCCTGATGTACAAGGACGGTCGTCGGCCTCGTGGATGCATCTCGCTGACCCAGTTTGGTCTCTCTCTCTCTCTCTCTCTCTCTCTCTCTCTCTCTCTCTCTCTCTCTCTC